TCGATTACTGCTTGAATATTTTTATAATTAATACCTGTCAAGCTTTGACAGCTTGATTAGTAAGCTTTGCAATTGATTAGTTCCGTATTCTAATTATTATCTAATTTTAATTATATTGATATTCCTTTTGATTATTATAGTAGTTTATAGCAAAATTTGGGTTATTCGTGGAACATTAAAAATTAAATATTGAAATAAATTTATGTGTAATAAAATTTTTAAATTTGTTTGAATGGTTTGATGAAATATTAATTTTAATCGAGTTTGGTAATTAATTATAGCAAATGTTGAGTTCAGGTATAACGTTCTTTATATAAAAGGCCAGGGTTTACTATGTGAATTTTGAAAATTTTCCTAATTAACGCTTATTAAATTATAGGACTTGCACGTGAAGGTAATTAGTTTCATATTTTCATAGTTAACCGGTTTTAATATTATCGGTTTATCCTCTGATTCTAGAAGTAGATAATTTGTATTAAAATTCATATTATTTAAATCGTTTTAAAAATGAAATGTTGCAACAAGTTTGATCTACTTTTAGATACTTCTACGTCATTTAGAGAAATATTAATTTTAATTAAGCTTATTGAGTCACTATTTTACTTAAATTACTCTATTTATACTTGACTTCGTTAATTAGCATATTTTATCAGTATATTATTTCATTCTAGTAGGAAGAAAATTAGAATAAAATTCACATCGCTCGTACCACGTTAAAAATAAAATATTACAACCTTGATCTGTTTTTAAATAATTTCGAGGAATTTAATGAAATAATTACTTGTTATAATTACCTAATTTTTATTCTGTAGGTTTAGTTATTTAATTAGGTTATTTAATTTTTATCCTCTAACTCTGGTAATAGAAAACTTATATCAAAATTTGCATTATCCGTGTCACATTAAAAATAAAATATTGTAGGATACCGAAAGAAATCGCGAATCGGCTATTGCCAACAAAAACAAATTGTAAACCGATCGATATCTTCTATATGCAAATCGAAAAGTTATTCTATATAACAAAATTAAGTTGCGTGACTCCTCTACGGAGAGGTGAAGCGTAGATTAAGGAAAGCATAACAGCAGGGTCCTTGACGACCAAAACAGAGTCCTTAGAAATCAATTGTGACCGGCACGAGCGTAAGTCGCTTAGTGTTGGAAAGAGAGTTAAATTAGAGTGCGTCTTCGTGTGTTTTCGTTTCGTTATCTTGGTGTTCTTTTCCTAAGTTAACCCTCTGCACTCGAGAGGCGCCTCTCAGTCTCCGTTTAATCAGATTCTAAAAATGGATGTTTATTAATATATTAAATTTACAATTACCCAACGATGCGTGGAATGTCGAAGTAAAATAATTCTACGTCTTAATTTTCATACGATTTCTTATTTACCGTTTTAGAAATTTTGTCGACTTTATGGCAGAAAGTCTTCGAATTACTATTTTCCCGTAACGAAAATATCGCCGAGTGCAAAGGGTTCAATTAGTTTTATGAGTTTTGAGTTTGTGTTATTCTGTTCTTGTTGTTTTGTCAATTTTCGGTGTCTCAAGACCAGTTCCGCCATCCTACAATATTGTGACATCCTTTGGCCATCCTTTGGCCTCTTTCCACGCGCTTTAAATCATTCAAATGTCAATTTTCATTACACTTATCGAATTATTATTTTATTTTGGTAAGGTTATTCATACTTGTTAAGTTTATAGAAGGCAATGTTGTTTATTCACAGACTAAGATTCACTGTAGGATTTTTATTGGATTAACTTTACGCACAAGTTGGGCAAGAACTCGTGATTCATGCTACCATATTGATACATCGTTTGAACGATTTCTCCGCACTCATTAAGACAGTTGCAATGAGAAACAATGTCTAGATTACAATGTAGCAGAAACTGTTCGATACTCGATCACGTGTTCGATAAAGTTGCTATTATCGAACGTGCAATGCATCACCAATCAGCTGTTTACATCAGAGAATCTTTCACAATGTGGATGATACTGTAAACGATACGTAGGAATTTAGTCCTAGAATTTCAAATGTCAAATTAATAAAAAGATATATTTATAATTTATATCTCGTTGAGCAGGCTTTGTAAATTATAGTTACAGTTTGTATTTTCATCAATATTAGAATTAAAAAATTAGTGAAAGTGAGTAGCTTAAAAATTTTTATTTTTGCAGTTTTCGAAAGAACACAGATTCCTGCACCAATTAATTTTGCTATTTTGCTTTTAATTATTTATAATTTCGATATACGTGTTATTATTTATATTTATATTATATTATTTTTCGATATACATATTATTATTTATTATTTATAATTTCAATATACATATATTCGTTTATTTCTGACATACAAATAGTATTATTTATTTATTTTATTTCATTCATTTTCATTATATCAATTTTACTAATCCTACAATATTTGGTAAAATGAAGGGTACATGGAAGTATACATGGAAGTATACATGAAAAAAATTCTGAAAAATTGATTATATCTGTATTAGAAGAAAAATCGAGTGACCAAAGTGATATCATTTAATAAAGAATTTTTAACAAAATTTTGAGCTTGGTAGGTTTAGTAATAATGAATATATTTATATATACTACAAATCGATTGTAGTAGTGGCTAATCAGTAATAAAAAGGTAATGCAATTATTAATTACATATATATTATATTATATATAATTAATATATTTATATATATTACAAATCGATTTGTCCTAGTCACTCATCGGTAATAAAAAGGTAATGCAATTATTAATTACATATATTTCCTGTCTTCGTTTAAGGCTAATAGAAAATATAAGACTGTCTTCAAAAATATTACACTACGGTTTAATTAATATACTTATACGCATTACAGTATCATTTGTCGACAATTTCCTCTCGAGGAAAGCTAAACAACCTGAAACAAACCATAAAACTTGCTACTTCCTTCCTTACAACCACCACGAAACACACGTCGTTCGCTGAACACCCAGTTTCCAAGCACGTAAGCTAGACTTGCTCCTGATGGGGCCAGTTTGACAACCGAAACCGTTCCGTTATGCGGGTTGTATCGCTGCAGTAATCAGCCAATATAACACAATTGCCACACACGGTTGTACCATCCTCAAACGATCCCCTTCATCCTGCACGCGACTCGTCCTTATCAGTTACGCTCTATCTAGCTCCCGGACAGGGGGTCACGCGCGACTCGTGACTCGAAAATTGGGAAAAAAGAGAGGAAAAGAACGAATCCGTGGACTTTCACTGTCCAACGTCCACTTCCTGTCCCGTTGACGAATTACTATCGATTCTCATTCCCTGCACGCGCGACCAACGGACACCGGCACACAGAGCAGCCTAGCCCAGGCCTGGCGTCAGCAACGGTACAACATACGGGATTACCATGAGAAATCTGACATTTCTATATCGCGTACACATTGAACACCCACGCGTTACTTAACTCGTTACGTTGATGCACGTCAGATCTTAAGCAACAGAGCACAATTAAAGATACACGCAACGAGCCTCCGCGAGGATTCTCCGTGCATCAGCCTTCGACACCAGTCCCTATTCTACTCAGACTTCGGCCAGTTCGACCGTCTCCTTATTAGACTCGAACGTCCACGCACGAGACATTGTGCATAGGTCTTAGGCCACCTGTGTTTATTGGCTACTGTAATTTCGAAATTTATACACATTTTTGACAGCACTTTTTTGACATGTCACACAGACGAATTTCTGGCTAACCTATGGGTTCAGAATTTCCTTCCTTTTTTGATATGTAATCGTTATGTGACGATGAGTAGAAAACGGTGAGGGAATGGAAAAATGTCAAACGAGGCGGTTGATAAGTTATTCCACGACTTTCTCAAAATAGCTGGCGTTGGTGGGATGTTCGAAGGAGGTCATAGGAATTGTCGATTTATTTTTTAAAGTCTTTTAGACAATTATTTGCTATGGAGGAAATTATTTTCTAGGATGTTCTAGTTCAAACAGGTGGTTTTCGATTCATTCATGAAGGGATCAAATATATTTTCCTGACAAGTGATTTAGGACATTTTTCTACAGTCTTTCGTAGGTCAATAATTAAAAGGATGATCTAATTGTTAAATATACGTAAAGAATATTGTCCCTGATATATTTTTAATACTATTTCCGTGGAATTTAAAATAATTTATTTCTTATAATTTCTAATCTTTTGTTTGTTATAATTTTAATAATCCAAGGCTCGGAAGTTAACATTCTTTTATAGAGTCACCCTAACGTTTTATCGATGCAGCTTCTAACCACTCCTTCTAGGAGCAGACACGTGTAATTTGAAGATCGATCGGTAGATATCAAAGCGCACATGACACGTATTTCAGACGCAAGAATTATACTCTACCTGTAAATCAACCCTACACCTTGCAATTTTCTTAATAGCTACACTTCTATAGCGACTCTCAGAAATTTCTGACCACCGCGTGGCATTATTCTAGCGTTCAGATGGATTTTCGAAAGCGAAGATCCTATCTGACGAACATAGTACGTAATACTGTCCAATATTTTGAGACAGGTTCTATATTACCTTAGGAAAATTAAATTAATCAAAACTACTATAGCGCTACAGTTTAGTTACAGACTTTTAACAATCGATTAATTCTTGATCACGCGAATAATTAAACTCGACAGTTTTCCAAGACAAAATAAAAATTTTCAAACTATACCGATGTAAAAATATTGTCTCTGTTAAATTTTCAAGAGTACTCTAATCGCAGAGGGTTGAACCTCGGTCTCCTTACTCTGACAACGGTACTTAACACGTTAATTTAACTCAAGAGAGGAAAAAATAATTTTACAGGGACGAATTTTTTCAGAGCTTGAGAAATTCTCAACCTGACCTAATAGAAAATTCAACGTAAATTGCCTCGTCAGTTTATCCACTGCCTCGAGACTAGTCTCAGCTTCGGACTGACAACGGAACCCCTAGTGGATGGCGTGGAAGGGTAGCAAGAGCGAAAGAAGGAAGTCACCCTTACCTGATGGACCTAACTCTGCCCATGTTCGATTCGGCACGGTGCACGACGGAACCCTGACGATACTTCTCCCTCTTGCTCAGTCCCTCTATTCTCGTAAACGGTCACTGTTCTAGCAAACGTGTCCACAGACCTGGCTCGGCTGAGTTAAGACCGGCGAAGACGTGAACGAACCGAGACAACGAGGATCGAAAACACTTTGTTGAGAGGTGATGCACCAGTCGTGCTGTGTGCACGACATCGAACCACGCGACGGTCCGGCGGATACTGAGCTCTCAGGGCCCGCGATAGCCTCTTCACACGGACGAGTGAAAGCGAGAGGTGCCGCGAGAGGCACCAGCGAAGACCGACGAGTCACGAGCCTGAACAGGAAAGAGGAAGACGGAGGATCGTGCGGTTGAGCGAGAAAGCGTGTTACCTCAGTCACGTGAAAAGAAGGAAAACCTTACGAGCAGCCAGGTGGAGTAGAAGAGAAGGAGCCAGGAGGACAGAGAGGCCTGTGGAAGCGCGAGGACGATGGTCCTCCGGTTACGTACATGCAACGAGGAGGACTGATTGAAGCGAGCAAGAAAGCACGACGCTGCAATTACGCTCCGAGAGGGAAGAACGTACAGGGACTCGGGTGGAGGACGAGGGAAAGAAGAAGTCAGAAAAGACGAGGAGAAGAAACAGGAGGTCGAGCTGGTGCACGAGGAGGAGGAGAAGGATCGACCACGTTGGTGGTTGTTAGAACGCTGCTCTTCTCTTACGTGCAACTCGATAGACCGATTTAAGCGAGAGAGAAAGCACCACGTTGCCAGTCATGTGATAAACGGGAGGCACTTATAGGGAAGCCGTGGGTCTACGAGGGATAGAGCTAGCAGAGTCGAACAAGGACGAGCAGACGCACCGGGGAACCTCTCGTCACGTGCCAAGAAGAAAACCGAGTCGAACCGTACAAGTTGCAACGACGGGGAGTGGAACGACAGCGAAAGCACCACGCGGAAGGAACCTATTGATACGCGTTGGGTTCACCCGCTTTTCAGGCGGATTCAATCTCCACGTTGCCTCTCTCACGCTTGCTGACCGCTCTGTTCCGTGGTTTCTCTCTTCGTAATGCTTCCAAACGCGATAGCGTTAGAGTTTCCTCATTTTTCTTTTTGTTTCGCCAGTTTTATTCCGCCGGTGGCTGCGTTTATGGTAGGCTTGTCTAGCCGGACATGTCTCCTCGGGTAGCCAAGGAAGCTTTTGAGTCCCGCGGGTCTTGGAAACTTATCCGGATGCTGGACTGGTCGGAAAATTGCAGCGATCGGAATTTTTCTAGTCTCTGTTATTTACCATTGGTCCCTTCTTTCTTCTTCTTTCGACGATACTGTCCGCTCTGCGAAGACTGGACCTAGAATGACCACAGAGAGCGCTGCGATCGCTGAGGAACGAAGATACGAAGTAAGTAACGAAAGATCGTTCTTCTTAATCCGATATCGGGATTACTGATGAAGTTACCTCGACATTTGCAACCTCTACTTTCGCGAAAGACATTCTATCCAAGCCTGGCATGGAATTTATCTAGTCTTCTAATTCACGAATCAGAGCTCCACGCGATAGATACACCGTGATCTAGTTGGCCTGGTCCGATGATGCTTTATATTTTTCCTATTTTTCTTTTTCCCGCCAGCTTTATGACGCTTACTTTGCTATCAGATTTCGATAGAGCCACGGTTTAACCGTGTCTGTGAAACTTCGGAATGAAATTCCCGCGTGACTGTATGTATGAATGGTTTTGGCTCGATTGTTACGTGACGGGAAGTGGCTGTAGAAAAATTGCTCGAACGAGGAATCGACTGGATTCGATTTTTCGTGGAATCAATTTGTAGAGAGGGTTATTGAAAAGCGTGCTTCGGCATTGCTGTGTTCCCTGCCACTGGATAGAACCAGTCCCCACACTGGGAACCTCCGAGAACTCGTTGCTGAAGCATTTAACAGTTTTATTTGTAATCAAGTAGTCTGGGGAAGAGATGAAATAGTTATTGATTTAAAGGACTTCCTCTTTTTAATATAACATGTCTCGATGGATTTTATGTCTATTTTTACTGCGTATTTTGTGTCTCAGGTTTGCCTAATTCCTATCACTGTGATAACGAGTCTACCTTGTCAGGAGTTTTCACGCGAAGGTGTACGAAAATTATCATACGAGTGGATTATTATATTATATTTAACATGTTTTGACACGAATAAATATGAATTTAAAAAATATAAATTTAAAAAATTTTCCCAATTTCATCGCGAACAGCATAGGTGTATTTAAGCTTTTAAATTTTTTAATTTGTAAAAGTTGATGGTGTTAGAAGCACTTTTTTAATTTTGAAGTCAAAATTGTTAAAGAAAGGTATAACAGAAAATTTTGTAAATGTATTTTGATATTAATGCTGATGGATTAAGAGAAGAAAATGGAGCTAGAAATTTCTAACGAGAATTACGGTAATGAAAACGAGATTTTTATGGAGAAAGTGAAAATATTATTGTTCAAAAATTTCACCATCGTTATGAATTATAAATTAATCATACGGGTAACATGAAAGAAGAATCGATAAATATTCAACGATAAGAAAGTAATAAAAAATAATAAGGAATAATAAAAATTCTTTTACTTTTCATCGAAATTGAGATACGCGTAATGAAAAAGGTATTTGTCTGTAATCCATTCGAAGCACGTGAGTTCGCTAAAAAAACCTCGAGCGTTTATGTATGACACATAATGCTTCAATTAAAGGAGGAATAGTAAAAGCAACACGGAAAATCGAGAAGAAAGGAAACGATGTTCGAGTGTCGAGGGAAAAAATCTGGTATAATGCGATGATATTAATTCGCGGAATTAATACTCGATTACAAAGGAAATGAATATCAAACAGACCATTGAAACATCCATCAAATGGAGAATTTAAATTCAACCTTGTTCAAAAATATTGAACAAACATGCAGATTACATAGCGACAGTTAATAGCAATGTCAACATTTATTCTATCTTCCTTTCACTATCTATAAATAAAATAATTTTCATATCGAGTATAATCTTGAATATCAAGTATAACATTAAATATATTTTGTTTTATTATTTTCTTTAATTGATATATCCCTTTATTTATTTAATATCAACGTTAATATTGAGTATATTATTGACTATATTAATATTGAGCATGACTGATATTAATTTTCATATCAAGTGTAATTTTGGATATCAATTATAACATTAAATACATTTTATTTTATTATTTTTTTAATTGATATATCCTTTTATTTATTTAATATCAACGTTAATATTGAGTATATTATTGACTATATTAATATTGAGCATGACTGATATTAATTTTCATATCAAGTATAATTTTGGATATCAATTATAACATTAAGTATATTTTATTTTATTATTTTGTTTAATTAATATATCCTTTTATTTATTTAATATTAACGTTAATATTAAGTATATTATTGAGTATATTAATACTGTGCATGACTGATATTAATCTTAGTTCAGTGTATCAATATTAAGCGTAATATCGAGCATATTAATTAATTATTATTAATTTCATTATTATTAATTAGTACTGTGCTTGGTAAAAGGATATTTAATAAAATAACGATTTTTTTTTAATTTTACAATTTTTTAAAACATACAGGGTATCCCTGAGAAGTATATACAAGAGAGCATCAGGTGACTCCCTTTAAAAAAATATATAAGGAGTATAGCTGTATATTTTTCATATCTTTTTACGAAGTACTACCTGGTAATCAGACATACACTTCTGTGACACTCTGTATAGTTACTACTAACAAAATTAACGATGATTTTTATTCAAGTAGAAATATAATTCTACACAATTATTTTTCTTCATTATACCACTATGATTATTGTCAACTATGTATAATACAGGGTGATCCAAGAAAATGCATATACACTTTAATACCTTCTTCTTCCTAATTTATTTTTTCTTTTCTAGGTACGACCCATTTAAAATAATGACCGATTTTAGACTAGACTTTGAAAAACGTAAATATATTTTAAAGTGCTACCAACATAATCTGTAATCCATCTAGATATATACTGCTTTTATAATCTCGCAAAGTGTATGTATATTTAGCTACTTATTACAGTGCGTGACAAAGTAATAGTACATTTATCATCTGCGTTTACCATTGTTTTTTGAAACTAATGCAACGTATTCATACCTTACATATGTTTTCATATAATCTGCCTGATCGTCAATAATACACAGGAATATTAACAACAATTCACACTTGTTCCTACAAATTTAAAAAATTCTCTAGCAATGGAAAGTCTTCCTACTTAGCATCATATTAGGCTTACGAAATAAATGAATAAAAAATATCGATACTATCTATCTACTTCCTTATTATCTATGAAAATATTCCAAGGATAAGAACTTTTTCAAATATCTTCATCAACTGCTTCGAATAGTACTATCCTTTCCCTGAAGAATCAGATTTCATCCATAATCGGACGATTTTCTTTCTCCCCAGGTAAGTTACTTAACACCATTCGAGACAACGATTTTTTCCGAACACGGTCCCTGTGAGTTTGTTGTATAGCAATCGTATATTTATTATAAAATTATAAATTACACAGGTCTTATATCGTATTTGTTCGCTCTCACGCTTCTTATAACAAACTGAACTTCCTTATAACATATTGACTGTAGCGTCCTACGGTATCGAATCTCTTCGATTTCCAAGAACGCTTATCACGCGCCAAATTAATATTGCGTGACTAGTTGTGATAATAAGGATCCAGAATGTGTGTGGTCAAAAGAGAGTGTTTATTTACAGAAAAGCGTAGAATAGTTATAATGTAGACGTTAACGGAGTACCGTTTCGAACACGCGTTTGTATGTGTAATTTAGATGTTTGAAGGATCGGTGCCGAAGACGAACTGACTTCTCGATTTTGCTCTATGTCCTGTCTCGTCGTGTTCGGTCCGGTGTTTTCTCTAGTTCAGTTCTGATTGGGTAAAATAGATGTTGGTGGTGGAAAGGTAAAGAGTTTTAATTGGACAGAGGGTGTGACATAAGGACCTTTGGCTAAGGAGTAGGAAACTGTCAAGGAGCCGATTTCTGATGGTCAATGACGTGATTTATAAGTGCCGTCCGTCCGTCGCTTGTTGGGTCTGTCACAAGTGGGTCCCATCTGTCGCGTCTGGTTTCTAGTAAAATTCCTAATTTTGCTTTACCTTTATAAGCTTAATCCGCTAGAAC